TAATGTTTTTGGAAAAACATATACCAACAAAAATTATAGCAGAGACCACAACATTTCTCAGCATACCTTGAAGGTTATAATTGTGTTTTGTGCTGAAAATATCATTTCATTTACTTTATGGTAGCATATATTTTAATATGGTATTTGGATTCTATGTATAAACACATCTAATGTGTAGTCATTTAGAACATTGCTATAAAAAATATGTAATTGTTTCATTAATACAGGATTTTTGAAATCATGGAACGCAGAGGCGGCAATTAAATGTGGAAAAGTTCACCACCCGTTCAAAAAACTCAAAGACAGTGTGTACGTCATGGCATGGGTTGCGATATTAGGAATTTTCATTTCAGTAGACGCATTCAAAGTAACACATTACGCTCCTCGATGTTACTGATGGCTGACGCAAATATTTCCACAATATCTTCAACTTTGCTCACAATAAATCGGAGAATAATATCTAAATGTAGCTTTAGACATTCAGAAAAATTCTTTGGACATGTACACAAATATTAGAGTTCTCCTCAGGAGTAGAAAATGTAACTCCATTAATGTAGAATGCTACTCAAAAGTTAAAATATTGTCAGTTTCATTATTTTATCATATTCGATATATAATGTTACAGGGAATATCAAAATGACCGTACTCGGTTCAGAGTAAATAGCATGTTTTGTTTTAAGGCATTTTACCACTGTTTCTATGCAAGTCCATATCTTATACTTTTGCTCGGTGACATATGATAGAAAGAGAATATCATTCGATAGAAGTATTAAAGAATAGACAATATTTTTAGTGCTTTGTTAGTAATGAATTGTTGAATTGGTCTATAGAATCCGCTGCTGAAATGTGCTTTCACTTTTAAACATGGGTTGGACCATATAAATATACTGGCAAATTACTTCTGCAGGCACCTTTGCTAAATCATAGGTCTCATCTTTTAATTATAACTCAATACAAGGAGGTCAATAAACTACAATTTCGCCTAGACACATATATATATATATATGTGTGTCTAGGCGAAATTGTAGTCCCTGTTAGTTATCAAACTTAAGATATATAATTTTGTTTATAGTAATATAGTTCAACCATAAACATGTCAGAGATATGGATCCAGAAGCTGATGCTTGATTATGGTAATTTGTTAACACTGACATTATTGACATTCAACCATCTTGTATCTGATCGTCAAATGTGTACTTGTCCATATTGAGAGATATTACTGTGGAACAGCATTACTTAAAACAAAATAGCCACTAGTCGTCCATTTTGAATACATCTGTAAATCTATAACATGATGTAGAATGAATATATAAAATTTTAAGTCAAATCATGTCAGAGATACGGCTCTAGAACCACATTCATTAAAAGAAAATGAACACTAGTCAGCCATTTTGAATTAGATTTGAAAATTATGCATCCGGGACCTATAATTTCTTATGTATGTACCAAGTTTGAACAAAATCCATCCATCCATAAACGATCCATAAAAGATCTAATTCCATAATGCAGAAATGTTTTATTTTTTATATTTTTAGCACAAAAATGGCCACCACTTGGCCATTTTGAATCAGATAGTCAAACAAGTATATCTGTACATCTATGACATGATCTATAATAAATATAAAAAAATGAACATAATCAGTTAAAGCACGGCAGAGATATGGCACCAGAACTGCATTCATTAAAACAAAATGGCTGCCAGTCGGCCATTTTAAATCCGATCTGAAAAACAGTATGACGTGCATCAAGGTCCCATGTACAACATATGCACCAAGTTTGAACAAAATCCATCCATAAATTCTTTTGAATGATTTTGAAGATTTTTCAGCACAAAAATGGCCGCCATTCTGCCATCTTGAATCAGATCGTGAAACAAATTGATGTGCTTATGTATAATACTATGTATGATGTATGTATGAAGTTTGAATGTAATCAGTCCAGGAATGTCTAAGATATAGGACACACGGACGCACGGACGTACATGCGTACAGATTAAACCACAAGTCCCCGTTTTCGTAAACTGATATTAGCCAACAATTAGAAGTAACGTTTTAGGCCAGAAGATAGCCCCACTAGAACACCAATACTTCGTGATATGTGATGTCGCCTTGAACAAATGGAGAATCTGTGTGACGAATGGGTCAATTGATAATTGACACAATAGACTATTTGACGACATGGTATCCAATACTTAGACAGTGTGGTTCCGGGCCATTGCTGCTGCACATCGTGTCCACCAAAAGGGAGTCAATGCTCTGCATGACACTGTTATTTTGCGAGCAGGTCAACGAATTACAATAGCTGAACCCGGCGTTTATCATCAAAGTCTGTAGAGTTTAAAGTCGAACTTGGAAGAAAGCTTTGTTCTGCAGTTGCGAGGGTAGAGTTCAACGTTTCAATTCGTGACTATCTAATATTCGCCGGGCGACAACGCGGACTGACACATTTCGACGCACGTCTGGAAACGTCAGGTAGCGAACATGCTTTTACACACACACACACAATTTAGTCTTGAGCTTTCAGTTCATATACTTTGCTTGTGAACATTTTATTTAAGTGTATTTCACTGTTATATTGGACGAGTGGGTAATGTCGTTTCTCTCTGCTGACGCAGGATCGTTACTGACCTTGCTGTAGTATTTGTCTATTTGTGTGTCTCTTGTTTGTACAGTTTATCGATGTCATTCAGCGTCCCCATCTTAGGCAAGACCGACACTTGCCCAAACTAGTCGTAAACTGGCGTGAAGTGTGCGTAAAGCAAGACTGACACTTGCATGCCTTTTGACCACGATTTAGTCGTGGAAAGTCGTGCTATTTTGGGGCACGAACTTGGAGGATCCAGCACTGTTAACGACGAGTTCACAAATAGTGAATGCGTGCCCAACAATGTCCACATTGACACGAACTGGCACGACGAATTAACGTATACTAGTAGTTTACGCTCTTCCCGCATTGGCATGACGAGTTTGCACAATTCAGACGGTGTGCCGACTTGAGCATGCCATATAAAAAAGGGACTCGGTGACTTTCCGTGAACTATTTAATGTGATCTCGTTGTGAACTATGCATGAACTTGTCGTGAACAGTGCGGTAGCCTCCCAGTTCGTCTCAAAAAATTGCACGACTTGCCACGACACATTTGTGGTCTAAAGTCGTGCAAGTGTCAGTTTTGCTTTATTAAACCTCACGTCACAATTACAGTAACATACGAAATGTAATAATCAGAGTACGCTATACACTAACGAGTACGTATTAAATTCATCCAGGGAGGGGCTGTACGAGGCACATTTACATAATTATAATTCCGCTTTGCGCTATTAATTGGTGTTTTCAGTTTGTGATCTGTCAAGAGTTGGACACGGCTAACAACTAGTAAATATGCGAACAATTTAAGAGCACTAACACTTAGATATTTTGCAGAGCGAAATGTTCTATTAAATGAATGACACAAAACAAATCAGATGATGAATGTCTCATCTTTGTTCCGTGAGAAAATGACTTTGTGGTTTCTGCATATTGTCCCTATTACGGGGCTATATTTAATTCAAAATCGGCCAAAATATATAGAACGAAGATTCGTTATTCAAAACACTTTCAAATCGCAGGAAACAATAAGTTAGCCATATTTCAAGATTGTCCCGCCTATCCTGATTCTGTGACGCTCGATAAAAGATTGATTAATATTAGTACGATACATATAAAGTGTTTGGTGCGGGTAGTCAATAAATAGAGTGAAAATGAGAACATTTGAAAAGTTGCCAGGTTGTCCATGGAAGGTAATATAATCTACCATGGGTTGGTATTGGAAATAATTGATTCTGGATTTCACTTGTGTCAACACAAGTGCGGCACTCTGCCGTGTCAATGAATAATAACTACCAGCTATGTCAGCGCATCGTTATCACAAAGAAAGATGATCTTTTTTTGTTTCTTTGGTAGATAGAACAAATACTGAGATATAACATTGCCACGTTGCAGATCTCCTGAACCACCACTAGTACTTGAGTAATCGGAAGTAATCAATGGATAGAAGATGGCATGGTAAGAATACTGAATAGCAGTAACAGATAGTGAAGGACTGTACGAAAAGCTAACAATTGTTAACAGCTAATACATGGTGCAAAGTCCCGTAGAAATCGGTATCCAGAAAAAACCACCCCCCCTAAACAAAATACCCACTAAGCGAAGCATATACTTTCATACAGCGCAATGATTATTCAACTTGCATTTTGACATAATACGAGTGTCAAGTATACAGTAAATAACGCCAAAAGGTTGTTTCAGAGTGAACATAAAATATAGGTAAATCGTGTCTGCCTGTAGCGCTCAAAGTTACGAGTTGGAAGTGTGCGGCGTAATTACTTATATTTGCTTATACATGAAACATAAAGCGTTTTACAACTTGATCACTTTTTGTTTCATACACCAACAATCAACTCGTTTTTTATATTCTGATCGGGTATCAGCCTAAATACATACATCTCAACTATAATTCATCATATTTGTGAACACACACCAACACTCATATATAATACGATCTCAATATATTACACCAGAAACTCAATTGTGTCACTTTGTTCAGTTCACAGGTTCTTATAAGATGCGTCAGGCAAGAAGACATGCAGCAAGTTAGTGATCTAACTGTTAATGAACATTGGGACTTTTCAGTAGAGTATCTAGAATCTCTGCGTCAGGCAAATCCAACAGGATTTTACGTAGCTGAAAAAGAAAAAGGTGTAATAATTGGTAAGTTTAAAACTTATCATATCGTGATTAAGAAAGTTCGGTACGCATCAGTTTGTAATACAATATTATATTCCTATTTGCAAACAGAATTCTTTCTTGAAACAGATTTATAGTTGACCATTGTAAATTGAGGGTAAAGCTTTTCATTAAAGTTGTTTTTATAGAACTTAGTGACTTAAATAGCAGCTGACTTTATCCACTAACATGTGTGGGCCATTATCTGTTTAAAGGGAGATTGTTCTCTGTATATCTGATTAGCTAAAATTACCATTTACCTACCCCTATCCAGGAAGAAAACTGATAACCCCGTATTGTATTGTTGACTAGACATATATCCATACCGATATAACGGTATGTTTCTCAAACATTCTCTTCATGCAATGTATATTTTAACGACATATATCATATATTCTATTTGGCTTGCGCATAAATTGTGACAAGTTAGATTTCGTAATTTGAATGCGTTGACAGAAAGCAGGTCATTATATGTATTTAATTGGAAGATCAATTCAGTGGTGCTGTATTCTGTTACCGTCTCAGGTGTACCCATGTCCCCGAAATATACACATGACCGCAAAATAAACTATAATGTTAAAACTAAAAGAGACATTGATAGGTAAATCTATTAACATGAACCTTAAAAAAGGATTAATTATTTCACTCCCTCTGTAGACTTTATGTTAATTTGTATAGAGACCGAGGCCATGATTTCAAGAATATGCAAATGTGGTATCACCTTCCAGACTATATAATAAATGAGAAAATCATTCTACTCATTCTGATCAAATCATTCTGATTTCCAAATGTTCTTATTGCCGTTAACAAAACAATGACTCAATGTTTCAACTTTACAGGTAGTGGATATAGTATCATCCACTCCAATGATTTTGCTTTTTTCGGGCTATCTATAACTAAATCTGGGCATAGAAGGCAGGGAATACAGAAAAAAGATGTTGGAGACGATACTCGAGCATGCAGGAGACCGTAATGTTGGATTGACGTCACAGGGTCAACATCGAAGTGAAGTGTATTCCAAGGCTGGTTTCAGACATTTAGATCTCAATTTTGAGACAATGTTGTTACGTGGGAAAGGCGACCATTCAATAGTATCCCTGGATAACAATGTAACTATTGATATTGTGCCATTTCGAGAAGTTTCATTCAATAATTTATTGCAATACGACTGCAAAATAACTCGGTTTCCAAGACCGGATTTTTTAAATGTTTGGTGCAATAGATCTTTAAATGTTTTGATTGCACTCAGACGCGGTTCCCGTGAAATCGTGGGTTATGGGGTTGTCTGTAAAATGGT